CTCCTGAGTAGCTGGGACTACAGGCATGCGCCACCATGCCTGGCTAATTTTTTCTATATATATTAGTTGGTCAAATAATTTCTCTCTATTTATAGTAGAGACGGGGGTCTCGCTCTTGCTCAGGCTGGTTTTGAACTCCTGACCTCGAGCAATCCGCCTGCCTGGGCCTCCCAGAGTGCTAGGATTACAGGCGTGAGCCACCAGGGCCCAGCCAGTATCGTTTAGTGTTAAGCCACCAATTGGTCAAAGGCTGTGCTTAAGCTCTCCAAGCCAATGAGGCTCCCATAGGGTCCCTCAGTCTCCCCACTTTTTTTCTGTGTCCTGATGGAAAATAACAGAGTACTTGACCACTCTCTGACCCCAACCAGCTGTAGGTTTCCCCAGCAGGCTCGAACCCAAACCAGGGCCTTGAACATTCCCAGGCACTGACAAAGGTATCTAGGTTTACTAGAAAGATACTAACCCCAGTCCTAAGCTAAATTCCTTAAAACCTCATATAAACTCTATACCCTGATGTGCTGGCTACGGACATACCTGGGGAGAATTCCCTATTCTCTCACTGCTACAGGCTCTGTATGTAAGTTCCCCAAGTAAATGCTGTGGACTGAGCACCCTGGCATTCGGTGCTCTTTTTGGAATACCAACCAGTCCCACCTCCCACAGTTTTTGGCACTCCCTTGTGGAAACTCCACTGCTGCCGCTTTTAGGGTAACTTCAGGGTGGGTTCAGAGGGATGAAACGGCTCCCATCCTTTGCTGATGTATCCACGTGTGGGCTTTCATGTCCCCCCACATTCAGCCAGTGTCATGGGCTGAATAATGACCTCCAACAATATTTAGGTTCAAATCATGCAAGCCTGTGAATGTATCTTATTTGGCAAAAGGGACTCCTGTGATTAAGTTAAGGATCTTGAGATGGGGAGATAATCCTGGATTACCCAGGTGGGCCCTGGGTGTAGTTGCAAGCACCCTCACAAGAGGGAAACAGAGGAAGGTTTTTTGTGTTTTTTTTTGAGACAGAGTCTCACTCTGTTGTCCTAGCTAGAGTGCCATGGTGTCAGCCCCGCTCACAGCAACCTCACACTCCTGGGCTCAAGCAATCCTTCTGCCTCAGCCTCCCAAGTAGCTGGGACTACAGGCACGTGCTACTGTGCCCAGATAATTTTTTTTTCTATATATTTTTAGTTGGACAATTAATTTGTATCTATTTATAGTAGAGATGGGGTCTCATTCTTGCTCAGCCTGGTTTCGAACTCCTGATCTTGAGCAATCCACCCAACTCGGCCTCTCAGGATTACAGGCATAGGATTACAGGCATGAGCCACCATGCCCGGCCCAGAGGAAGGTTTGACTACAGAAGAGGAGGAGGCCATGTGACAACATAGGCAGAGATTGGAGTGATGCAACCAAAAGCACAGGATTGCTGGCAGCCTCCAAAAGCTGGAAGAGGCAGGGAAGGAGTTTTCTGAAACCTCCAGCAGGAACCATTCCTGCGAAAACCAACCAACCAACCAACAAAATCTCTTGATTTTAGCCCCTTAAGACTTGGTCTCCAGAACTATTAGAGATTAAATTTCTGTAGTTTTGAGACTGCAAGTTTGTGGTAATTTGTTAGAGCAACAATAGAAACCAATACATCCGGTGACCAGTAGCTCTCCCGAGTGGTGCGGCCTAGCGCCTGTGTGTAGACCTGGACTCCCAGGGACAGGTGTGGCAGTAATGGGGTCCTTTTTTGTGTGTCTCTGTCCCTGTTTTCTATGTTAGACTTCTGGTTGGCCTGCCATTTCAGCTGCTCCTATTAGTTTTATGGCGCTGTTAGTTTTTCCATAATCTCTGGCCACTGAGGTTTCCACTGCCATCCCACCATGCCGTCCACCATGTGGCTTTCTCCACACTCAACTTCCACCTGCAGTTGGTGTGTGGCACTGTGCAGCTGTGCCCTGACACCTGGCCTCTTGCCCCGGGCAGGTTATGGGGACCTGGGAGTGGGCAGAACCTGCTTCCCCAGAGTGATGCCCTGCTCCCTGGAGGGATGTTGGGGGAGCCAGAGGAAGGGGAGCCCCATATTCTTGGCTACTCCTCTGGGAGTAAAGCTTTCATAACAGGGAGCTGGGACCATGGGAGCAGGTCAGGCTCAAACACAACAGATTCCTGCTGTTCTGACCAACACTGGATCTTCTGGAGTAAATGTTCCTGCTTTGCTGTGCCCAAGAGAGAGAGGCACTCTGCTATCCCGGGAGTCCTGCCCCTCCAGGGTTCTCGAGGGGAAGCCTGGAGCTCTCGCTTCCTCATGTTCTTCCATACAGGTTCCTTCAGATTCCAAGGTCTGACAGCTGCACCCCCTCCTGAGGGCAGGGCAGCCCAGACATCTGAGGGTGGCAGCACTGCTGGTGGCCACCTAGGCCCACCCAGCTGAGGCCACTGCCCCATTTGCTCTGGCAAGGTGGGAGAGTCTGCTTTTACCATCAAGAAGGGCTCAAGGTGCATCATCTGGGAGATGGTCATGATGGAGACTCAGAATTTGGGGGGAGGGGGGGAAATGGGCATTTATTGAAACCTTAAAATCTGTACACCCATAATATGCCGAAATAAAAAAAAAAAAAAAAGAAGGGCTCAAGGAGGCTTGAGGGTACAAGATTCAAGTGCATGCACCCGAAGTTCCCATCTCAGGTCTCAAGGCAATGACTCTGCCATGCAAAAGCTACACCGTGGCATTCCTCTGCAACCCTGCTGCCTTTCAAATCAGGTGGTGAGTCTCCTTCAGTACAGGAGGCTGTGCTAGTGTTTGTTGCTGTGTAACAAGTTGCCACAAACATAGTGGCTTAAAATCATATCAGTTTATTAACTTACATCTCTATAAGTCCGAAGTCTGAGCATAGTATGGCTGCCCTAAGAGAACTGGTTTTGAACTACTGTCTGATGTTATTAACTTCCTTTCAGCCCAAAGGACATTTTTTAGTATCTCGGATGAGGTAGGTCTGCTAGCAACAAAACAAAGTCCATGTCTTTGTTTTTTGTTTTTTTTTTAATGGCTAGTCAAGTAAAGTAGTGGGAGTGGAGAAGGAACAAAGAAATCTGTAACTGGTTGTGATGAATTACAAAGTCTCTGTCTTTGTTTATCTTGTACTGACTTTATTTCACCTCTATTTCCAAAACATGGTTTTACTGAAGGCAGAATTCTTGCTTGACAGTTTTTTTCTGACTTTGAGTGGACCATCCTATTGTCTTCTGGCCTCTACTATTTCTGTTGAGAATTCAGGTGTCAATCTTATTGGGGTTCTCTTATATGTGATGAGCCATTCTAGTTTTGTGATGAGTGATGAATCATTACTTTCAAAGTTTTCTCTTTGTCTTTGCCTTTCTTTCTTTCTTTCTTTTTTTTTTTTTCTGAGACAGAGTCTTGCTCTGTTGCCCAGGCTAGAGTGCCATGGCATCACCTTAGCTCACAGCAACCTCAAACTCCTGGGTTTAGGTGATCCTCCTGCCTCAGCCTTCCAAGTAGCTGGGAGTACAGGCATGTGCCACCTTGCCCAGCAACTTTTTTCTATTTTTAGTAGAGACAGGGTCTCACTCTTGTTCAGGCTGGTCTTGAACTCCTGAGCTCAAGAAATCCTCTGGCCTTGGCCTTCCAGAGTGCTAGGATTATAGGCGTGAGCTACCACACCCGGCCTGTCTTTGTCTTTCAGTATTTTTATTATAATATGTCGGCTCCTAGAGGCCATCTACATTCCTTGCCATATGACCCCCTCCAGCAGTGGAGAACTTCCTGTGTATAAAATCTCTTTAATTCTTACAATCTTTTCCACCAAGAAGAGGCCGGTCCTTTGAAGGGATCACCTGATTCAGTCAAGCTTAGCCCAAATGATCTCCCTTTATTTCCCAGTGGTGCCAAATAACATAACATAACATAACATAATCACGGGAATAGAATCCATATCCTAAGGATATGCAGGGTGTGTGCAGCAGGAAATTCTGGAGTCTTCTTAGAAGTCTGCCTACCACAGTCTATCCTCTGGCTTCCCAGAGAATGTCTGAGCTAGAAGTTGATTGACTTAGCCTCTCATTCTTTGGGGGTAAAATCTCTAGTACTGTCAGAAAGACTCTACTCCTAAATCCTTAGAATTGGGATGATTTCCTAATTATAGGAATTATTTAAATTGTCATGATTTCCATTGAGGTTTAGTGCAGTTGCTATCTCTACCTCCTGGAGCAGTGGTCTCAGTGGTGCCAACCCCCAGCCACCACAGGTGAGCACTCCCCACTGGGGGCCACTGTGCCCCACTAAAGTAGCCAGGGAAGGGAACACGACAATCCCAGGAGAATTTGCAAATTAACAGGTGGAAACTACACCCATCAACAAGCAAAAAGGGAAAAAAATGATGTGAAATAATCATGATATAAACAAAGGCCACAAAATCAGACTGTAGAGAAGTGTCCCTTTAAAAGACAAATTGGATAAAAGAAGAAAGTGCTTTATATGATCTAAAATGCAAGCACATTGTTACCCTTGTGGGTAGCTCTCCAGTCCCTGGAGAATCCCCTGTCCTTAGGCCCAGGTGTGGCCAAGATATGGTTCCTCCTCCAGGGTACCTGCAAGCCTGCTGCACCCTCCATGTGACGATATTGCAGCCCTGTCAAACCTGCAACAGGCCCAGCCTGCCTTGTGGTGGCACTTGAGATGGACTGTCTGGTCCATCTTTTTGCCTGCAGCCCATCCCATGCTCTCCTAATGTGCTCATTATCACACTCACCCCACTGCGGTGCTGACTTGCCCTGGTCACCTCTATCCAGTTCCTGCTGTTGTTGGGCCAAAAATGCCCCCTTCCTGCAGGGCAGCGTACACACCCATTCTCCCTGTCCCCTTAGATGCCATGTCAACTGTGACTACCCAGATATCATGCCTAGGTGCCCAGACTCATGTCCTGGTACAGGCAGACTGCGAAGCTGCAGCTGGTGGCCAGTGGCAGCCAGGTGCGGATGTCTGGATCCCCTCCCCCTCACCTTATAACACACCTGGGCTGGCCTGGGACAAAGAAGCTTCCATCTTCCATGAGGGGATTTCTGTAGGGACCCAGAGGCCTGGGGCAGGTCTGGGCAACTAGTGGTCATTTGGCCTTCACGGGCAAGAGATCAGAGGTTAGGTGAGCCTCACCATAGGTGGTCAGAACAACTGGGCACTGACCCTGAAGTCCTGGAATGTGGCCAAGGCATGGGGGCAGGGGCAGCTGCTGACCTCATAATGGCGGGATCTGCTGTCCCTGGCCAGCCCACCAGCTGCTGGCCAGCTGCTGCCCCTGGCTGCCGGGCATGTCCCTCCTCAGCAGCTATGAGGGCCTGCGGCAGGAGATCCAGCGGCTGGCACAAGAGAACGAGGAACTGCGGCGGCTTGTGCAGCTCATACAGGAGAACCAAGAGCTGAAGCTGGTGCTCAGGAACCGGGGCAGCAGCCTGGGCTTCTGCAGCTCTGGGTTCCTGGCTGAGGTCACTGCCAGTCCCCGACCGGCTAGGCGAAGAACAATCAAATTCAAAGATGCTGACAGAGGTGAGCAGTGGTGGGGGCGCTTCTCAGAGGCCCACAAGGCTACACTCATTTAGCTTGTGCCAAGACAGTGAGAAGCCAGGCAGAAGCCCTGACCCCTTGGAGCTGTGCTAGGCCAGGTGCTGACTAGTGCTGTGGGGATCTTGAGGATCTTGAGGATCTCAGAGCAAAGCAAAGGGCAAGGGAGAAGGGTGGGGCTCTTTCAGGAAGCACAGCAGGGAGTAGGTGACATCAAAACAGAGCTGGAGCCAAGTGAAGGAGCCATGAGCCTGGAATGCAGCTTTGTAGGCCAAGGAAATAGTCTGTGCAAAGGCCCTGAGGTGGAGCAGGTTGGGTGTGCCTGAGGCACAGTGATGAGGCTAGTGCCGCTGCAGCAAAGGGCAGAAAAGGACCAGGAGGGCCTCATGTCCCCTGGCCTGTGCTCTCTGGGCTCCCTGGACTGATGTGGGGGTGGGGTAGGGGAGGGAGAATGGGGACAGTCCCACTCCTGGAGACAAGGGAAGAAGCCTGGTTGGTCACGGTAGAAGTGTGAAAAATATTGGGCTCTTCATATGTAGTTCATCTTTTTTCTAAAACGACACCTTGACATGCAGAGATGGATATATATTTTGAAGGTGGAAGTAACAGGACTTGTGCCAGATTGGGCATGAAGTGTGAGAGAGAGGGCCTTGAGGGCAGCTCAAAGGGTTTGGCCTGAGTGCTAGAGGGGAAGCTGCCCCTGGAATAGGCATGCTGGGAGGCGACCCTGGGTCTTGAGGGAATGGGCCCTTTGCTTGGGGAAGTGTCTGGCCATGCAGGGAGAGACAGGAGGTGGGTGGATCCCACAGGCCTGGTCCCTGCCAGAGACAGACATTACCCCAGGACGTATGTACTGGAACAGCTGGGATGCTGACATTCAGGGACAGATGAAGACAAGGAGCCAGCAGGGGTGGGGAACCAAGAAAGTGGGGTGGCTGGGGTGATGTTCATGGATAGTGAGAGGGTTTGAGGCCTGGGCATAGGCGAGGTGGGCAGCAGGTGGTGGTGGCTGTGAGTGGGGTTGTAGAATCCTTTCTGGTGCACCCTGGCCTAAGAGCCAGGCTAGAGGGGTGTATGGAGATTGGGGAAATAGAGGGGGGGGCAGCACCCAGGAGCTTGGGGGTGTGAGTGGGCTGACGCCAGTGGGAGGATACAGAGGCCTGTCAGAGAGTGTCCTGGATTGAATGGGGTTGCTGACCAGAGCAGTCTGGGTGGGGCTCCTGCAGCCGGGCAGTGGTGTGATGGTCTAGGCCCCGGCTGGGTGTAGAGATGGAGGTAGAAGGAAGGTCCACGGGCAAGGGGTTTGGGGGCAGCAAAATGGAGGGCACCTGTCACTCAGCTAGTCATCCAGACATGGCAGCAGCCCATTCCTGGGGCAGTGGGTCTCGTGCCTGATCTTGGGCCAGATCCCTGTCTACTGGGGAGCTGGAGTCCCCGCCCTTGGCCCTAGAAGGGCTGGAGGAGCAGAGACTCATGAGGCCAGCACAAGAGCAGCCACCGAGAACGAGAGTCTGGGCGGGTGGAGGGGGAGGGACAAAGATCAGAGGGCGTAAGGCGGATGCCTCGGAACCTGGATTGCCCTGAATCAACCAGATCTCGTGTACTGAGTGCTGTGGCCAGTGGATCAAGCACCAGGTCCAGTTCCTTCTAATGACATCTCCTTTCGTCTCCCTTCTGCCGTTACTCCCCTGTCGCACGGAGTACACCAGCCATGGCAGGCCTGTTGCAGTCCCGGGCACCTGGCGGCGGGTTTTGTGGACGCCCACTCTCGGCCAGCTCGGGCCGCGGCCAGCAGCGCCAAGGTGCCCTTGAGCCCGGCCCCGGGCCGCCGGGCTTGCACCGTTCGGGGCGGCCTGGGACTGACGCAAGGGCGAGGGCCGGGCCGGGTTGTGCCGGGAGGGCCCGCAGGCCCCTCCCCGAGGCGCGCCGGCAGGCAGTGAGGGCCGGGAGCTGCCTGGAGCCCAGCCCCCGGGCCAGGTGGGCGCCCTGCCAGGTGTCCGCCCCTCCCTTACCAGTTCCGCCTTCCCCTCCCCTCCCCTCCCTTTCCCGCGCCACCTCCCCCTCCCCGCCCCCGGCCCCGCCCCGTCTTGGCACAGGCTCCGCCCCATCCCATAGCCAGAGGGGGCCGGCCCAAGGTCGAGCCAAGCGGGAAGTGCGGTCCCTCGCCTGCCCACCCCGACCCCGTGTCTCTTCGTGCTCGAGGAGCCGAGACCGCCCGCGGGCTCTAGGGTCCAGCGGCGCCTCCGCCTCCGAAGCGCCTGCTCCTCGGTTTCTTCCGCAACCCAGAAACACTGAGAAGTGGGTAAGGGGTTGAGGGGAGCGGCGGGGGAGCGGCGGCGGGCTGGCCGGCCTATCCAGCTCTGGCTCTGACTCAGGCCGCCCTCTGAGCCAGTCTTGCAGCTCTGGCTCTGCCCAGAGTCGTGCCCGTGGGTCTCACCCCCAGGACCCCTCCTGGACTGGGAAGCCCCCCCCATCTCACCCTGCTCAGGCATGAGCCCACTGCCAATGCCCCCAGCCTGACCCCCACCTCTGTCCAGTTCTCCCAGGGCTACCAGCTGAAGAGCCGCTACTGGCCACCAGTCCCACTATCATGGGCACCCCAGAGGGGCGCTTCCACTTTGCCATCGACCGAGGAGGCACATTCACAGACGTCTTTGCCCAATGCCCTGGTGGGCACGTGCGGGTCTTGAAACTGCTCTCAGAGGATCCTGCTAACTATGTGGATGCACCTACTGAGGGTATCCGCCGCATCCTGGAGCAGGTGGGCCGGGGCAGAATGGGTGGGATGGGGAGGGACCCACGGCCAGAAGCCTGACGCTGACCATGTGGTCCCCAGGAGGGGGGCATGCCATTGCCCCGGGACCGGCCACTGGACACTAGCCGCATTGCCAGCATCCGCATGGGCACTACAGTGGCCACCAATGCACTGCTGGAGCGGAGGGGGGAACGGGTGGCACTGCTGGTGACACGTGGCTTCCGAGACCTGCTGCACATTGGCACCCAGGCCCGTGAGGACCTCTTTGACCTGGTGAGCTCCTCCATGCCAGCAGGGGGCCAGGTTGTGTGGCTCACACATCTCCAGGGGTGCCATGACCCCATGGGGTGGGCAGTTGGAAGGGTTAGTGGTGGCCCCAGGGCACTCACCAACAAGCAGAGTCCCCCCAGACCTTTGAGTGGGCACATGGTACCCTGTTCCTCTCTGCCAACATGCCTATCCTGGACACCAGTGTGGGGCAGCCCAAGTCAGCCCTGTTCAGGCTGAGGGAAAGGCGGGAGCCCTGCCCCTACGGCTGGATTCTGGGAAGAAGCTGCCCCTATGGGGGCGGGCTAGTTGGCTGTACTCAGTTGCCTGGGGGCAGAGAGTCTGCCGCTGGCTGGGCCTTGCCAGGACCGCCCAGTCTGACTGTGTCTCCTGGGCCTGTGGACTGGCCTGCTGGAACACATCCCCTCGCCTGCCCCACCCACCCACGCAGGATCCTACCACGGACCCTCAGGCCTGGGCCTCCTCTGAGCCTCTGCCCACCCCCAGGCCGTGCCCATGCCTGAGGTGCTGTATGAGGAGGTGCTGGAGGTAGATGAGCGCGTGGTGCTGTACCGAGGGGAGCCAGGCGCCGGGACGCCCATCAAAGGTGCGGCCGTGGGTGGCAGGTATAGGATCTGGGGGCTGGCAGATCCTGGTGGCCTTTGACTGTGTTGTGATGAGATTTGTGGCAGGCCGCACAGGGGACCTGCTGGAAGTGCAGCGGCCGGTGGACCTGGGGGCCCTGCGTGGGAAGCTGGAGGGGCTCCTATCTCGAGGCATCCGCAGCCTGGCTGTGGTGCTCATGCACTCGTACACGTGAGTGAGGGCCTCCGGTAGCAGGCAGCGGGCCTCTGGTGGCAGGCCTGGGGCAGTGGGTGGTGGGCCTCAGTGGGCACCATAGCACCAGGGGTTCTTGTCATAGGTGGACCCAGCACGAGCAGCAGGTGGGTGCACTGGCCCGGGAGCTGGGCTTCACTCACGTGTCCCTGTCCTCGGAGGCCATGCCCATGGTACGCATTGTTCCTCGGGGGCACACGGCCTGTGCCGACGCCTACCTCACACCCACCATACAGCGCTATGTGCAGGGCTTCCGCCGAGGCTTCCAGGGCCAGCTCAAGGTGAGGCCCCATGGCTGCCCACCCACTTTTGGCAGCGGCTCTGTGCCTGCCTGGCCCTTCACTGCCACCTGCCGCTGGTTCACAGGATGTACAGGTGCTGTTTATGCGCTCTGATGGCGGCCTGGTGCCCATGGACACCTTCAGTGGCTCCCGTGCTGTGCTCTCAGGCCCCGCTGGTGGTGTAGTTGGCTACTCAGCCACCACCTACCAGCTGGAGGGCGGCCAACCTGTCATCGGCTTTGACATGGGAGGTACGAGGGCTCAAGGGCAGAGTCTGGGGGAGGCTCAGCTGCAAGGCTGAGCAAAGCTGGGCTTCTAGATCTTCAAGTGACTCCCAGCACATCCCTCCAGGCACATCCACAGATGTGAGCCGCTATGCTGGGGAATTTGAACATGTCTTTGAGGCCAGCACAGCTGGTGTCACCCTCCAGGCCCCTCAGCTGGACATTAACACAGTGGCAGCTGGGGGAGGCTCCCGGCTCTTCTTCAGGTCAGCCACCCCCACCACCTCTTGGGTGGGAACCCCAGCCCTGCCTCCCTCTCCAACTCCAATTCTAGTCCTCCCTTTCCCAAGGTCTGGCCTTTTTGTGGTTGGGCCCGAGTCAGCGGGAGCTCACCCAGGCCCTGCTTGCTACCGCAAAGGTAAGAGCCAATATCTGCCTGGCCAGGCCTCCCTCTCCTCCCATTGCCCCCAGCCCTTCCCTTCAACCTCATCCTGGCTGCCCACTCCCGGTCCCCGGCCTCCAGCTCCAAACCCCACTCCATGCCCACCTCCCAGGGGGCCCTGCAACAGTGACGGATGCTAATCTGGTCCTGGGTCGCCTGCTGCCTGCCTCCTTCCCCTGCATTTTTGGGCCGGGAGAGGACCAGCCACTATCCCCTGAGGCCTCCCGCAAGGCCTTGGAGGCTGTGGCCACTGAGGTCAACAGCTTCCTGACCAACGGGCCCAGCCCGGCCTCCCCGCTGAGCCTGGAGGAGGTGGCCATGGGGTTTGTGCGTGTGGCCAACGAGGCTATGTGCCGGCCCATCCGTGCACTCACGCAGGTACGTCCACCTCTGCTCGCCTTCTACCCTGCTCCCTGCCCCCAGGAAGGGTACAGGGTAGGAGAGACCACTCACCACTTCTGGCTCCCCAGGCACGAGGCCATGACCCCTCGGCCCATGTGCTGGCCTGCTTCGGGGGAGCTGGTGGGCAGCATGCTTGTGCCATTGCTCGGGCCCTGGGCATGGACACAGTGCACATCCACAGGTAGGTCTGGGTGTGGCGCATTGGTGTGCGTGTGCTCTGGGCTGGGGAGCCAGATTTGTGAGATGCCCCTATTACCATGGCCCTGTCTCCGCAGGCACAGTGGGCTGCTGTCAGCACTGGGGCTAGCCTTGGCAGATGTGGTACATGAAGCACAGGAGCCCTGTGCCCTGTCCTATGCACCTGAGACCTTTGTGCAGCTGGACCAGAGGTTGAACCGTCTGGAGGAGCAATGCATGGATGCCCTCCGGGCCCAGGGCTTCTCCAGGTGGGCTCCTCGGGGCTCTCAGGGCAATGGGCATAAGGGGCTCCTGGACTCCAAGTGCTGGAGAAGACAGGACAGGTGTCCTTGTGGGGTGCTGGGTGGGTGGGGGGCAGGCCAGCGGGCTCTGTGTGAGTGCTGCATCCACTCACCTACCCCAGGTCTCAGATCAGCACTGAGAGCTTTCTGCATCTGCGCTACCAGGGCACAGACTGTGCCCTGATGGTATCTGCCCACCAGCACCCGGCCACAGCCCGGTCACCCCGGGCTGGCGACTTTGGGGCAGCCTTTGTGGAGAGGTATGTGAGCTCTTCATCCTGGGGGCCCTGGTGGGTAGCCAGCCAGTCAGCCTGGCCACCTTGGCCTGATGGTTCCCTTGGGCCGGGGTGGCAGGTATATGAAGGAGTTTGGCTTTGTCATCCCTGAGCGGCCAGTGGTGGTGGACGACGTGAGAGTGAGGGGCACCGGTCACAGCAGGCTTCGCCTTGAGGATGCCCCTAAAGTCCAGACCGGGCCTCCCCGGGTAGACAAGGTTGGTGGTCCTGCCGTGCCAGCCCTCCCACAGCCATGGGACATGGGAATAGGTGTTGATGGGGAAACCATGCCCTGTTGAGAAGACTTGGGAAGGGTGCTAGACCGAGAGGCTGTACTCACCCTATACTCTCCACAGATGACCCAGTGCTACTTTGAGGGGGGCTACCAGGAAACCCCTGTGTACCTGTTGGGAGAGCTGGGCTATGGGCACAAGCTCCAGGGGCCCTGCCTCATCATCGACAGCAACAGGTGAGCCGAGGCTGGCCACAATGGAGGCTGTGGAGGGGAGACTGGGGCCCTTGGTAGGGGCTTCTCTGGCCACAGGGGCCTGAGGGACTCTGTGTCCCATGACTGGCTTGGGGCTGTAGGGCCCCTGCTTGGAGGGGCTCTGCCTGGTACTTTGCAGTCTCTCTGTTCTCCCTGCCCCCAGCACCATCCTAGTGGAGCCAGGTTGCCAGGCAGAGGTGATTGAGACAGGGGACATCCGCATCTCTGTGGGGGCTGAAGCCTCCAGTACAGTGGGCACTCAGGTTGACCCCATCCAGCTGTCCATCTTCTCACACCGTTTCATGAGCATTGCTGGTGAGTGGCTGCTGCCATCTTCCTTACAGCCCTGGTTCGCTGTGGGGTAGGGCATAGGTGTTCTACAAATGGTGCAGAGGTAGGCATAGGTAGCAAGGCCGACAGCATTGGCCTTGTCATTGTGGTGGCTGGTAGGGGTGAACAGAGGGAAAGCATGCCCATGGCAAAGAGCACAGGGTCGAGGGGAGGTACCAGGTTCTTGCTGGTAACTCCAAGCAGGGCTGGGAAGAAGGTGGTGCCCTTCACACAGGACAGGACACAGTCTGGCTGTAGCCTCACTGTGCCCAGGTGGGCAGACCACCACCTTGGTCTTCCCAGGGCACAGGAAAAGCTACTGAGTCCTGGGTTTGAGCCAGGGAGGTCTTGACCCTGGTGGGTCCTATTCCTCCCTTTCCTGGGGCCATGCTGTGGGTGGGTGGTGCCAGCGTGTACCTGGTCACTCTGTGTCCCCAGAGCAGATGGGCCGTATCCTGCAGCGCACAGCCATCTCCACCAACATCAAGGAGCGCCTTGACTTCTCCTGTGCCCTCTTTGGGCCTGACGGGGGGCTGGTCTCCAATGCTCCCCACATCCCTGTGCACCTTGGTGCCATGCAGGAGACTGTGCAGTTCCAGGTGCTGTGACCCCCTCCCCTGCTCCCCATCTACCTGTGCCCCACACCCCTTCCCCGCTCTGCACCTATCTCCTTGTTTCAGATCCAGCACTTGGGGGCTGACCTCCACCCTGGTGATGTGTTGCTGAGTAACCACCCCAGCGCGGGGGGCAGCCATCTTCCAGACCTGACTGTCATCACACCGGTGAGGGGTACTGCCTGGCACCTTCGGTGGGGCAGGGGTGGCCAATGCAGCTGACCATTGTTTTCCACCCCCACAGGTGTTTTGGCCAGGTCAGACACGGCCTGTGTTCTATGTGGCCAGTCGAGGGCACCACGCAGACATTGGGGGCATTACCCCGGGTTCCATGCCCCCCCACTCCACCTCGCTGCAGCAGGAGGGGGCCGTCTTCCTATCTTTCAAACTTGTCCAGGGGGGTGTCTTCCAGGAGGAGGGTGAGTGGGAGTAGGAGTGGGGTTGGGGTGGCATTCAGCATGCTGGGACATGTGGCTACTGCTGGTAACCAGGAGGGGCTGGACCTGGGGAGGGAGGGAGGTGGTGACCCCAGGGGGCGGATACAGATCACCTCTCAGAGATGATGGCAGAAGCTGAGAAGAATTCTGCCTGGGCCCTGGAAGGCCTCCTGGGAGGTGGTTTTGAGCATGGGGAATTGGCCAGGACACCTAGGGTCAGGCTGCTGGAGGAGGAGGAACTGTTTCAAGGTAGGCAGCTAGCTGCTCATGGTGTGTAGGGTCTATGCTGAGTGGGGGCTTTGGAGAAGCAGCAAGGCCAGGGGCAGGGGCTGCAGGCTCCTGGAGAGTTTTTTGGTCCTGGGTTTGAGTCACTGGGGGGTGGGGCGGCTGTGAAGGGCTTTCAGCTGGGCCCATGCTGGTCCACATATACACCCAGGTGCAGAGAGAACAGGGGTGTGAGTGGCTTGCTGGTGGAGAGGGGTTAATGAGGTAGGAGTGGGGTCGATGGGGTAGGAGCAGCTGCATTGACCCAAGTGATGCTGAGCCTTGAAGTAGGCAGAGGGTGGGGCTATTGTGGAGGTGGGGGCACGTGTTTGATGGGATATAGGGGAGGGGGGAGGGGTTGAGTTGGGCAATTGGAGGGTGTAGCTCTGGCACAGGGCAAGTGGGACAGAGAGCCCAGGGAGGCATCTGGAGTGAAGGGAGGAGCTGTGACCAGGGTGGGGGTAACAGAGCCACAGGCTGCTCTGGGTGCTGGGGACACAAGATGTCCAGGCCTGGCTGGTCCCTTGGTCATTGTGAACTGGGGCAGGGGCAAGGCTCATGGAGGGACATGTGCAGATACATGGCAGAGGCCAGGGATAGGGTACCTCAGAAAGGACCCTCACCCAGACTCCAGGGTGGAGGGGCTTTCCGGAGGTGGGGAGTGGTCCTGGGGCCAGACCTCACTGCTTGCTGGGGGCTGGAGACCTTGTCCAGACCTGGGAAACCTGGGGAAGGAGTGCAGATGGCACTGACAGGTGCACCTTGATGTTCTTTGAAGGTACTTGGCTGGGGCAGCTGGCAGGTCTGAGAGCAGCCAAGTTGAGGAGGGTCTAGGGAAGTGGGCAGAGAAGGTGGGAGTGATGGAGGGAGGAGAGTTTGCTGAGGGATGAAACTGACCCCTACTCCAGGCAAACTCCAGCTCCAGTGAGGTCATTGGCAAAGCTGCTTGCCCAAGCCTAGGGTGCCCTCGGGTGCTGGGCTGTGGTGGGAGAAGGGTGGAGGCTGGGGTCTTTAGGGTTCTGCAAGAGTTAGCAGGGAAGGTAGAGAGCCAGTGAAGGGCCGACTTGGGGGCCTCCAGTACCCAGTGGGGGTGCAGTGGGTTTGGAATAGGGCACCAGGCAGCCCCCAAGCTTAGAGAGGGGCTCATTGGTGACCCTGTCCATCCAGCGGTGACTGAAGCCCTGCGGGCTCCAGGCAAGATCCCTACCTGTAGTGGAACAAGGAATCTGCATGACAACCTGTCAGATCTTCGTGCCCAGGTGGCAGCCAACCAGAAGGGCATCCAGTTGGTGGGGGAGCTCATTGGGCAGTATGGCCTGGATGTGGTGCAGGCTTACATGGGCCATATTCAGGTGAGCCTGGGTGCATGAGTTGGGGGGAAGCACTGTGCCCGCCTCTAGGCAGCTGGGCCACCCTGAAGGTGGCATGACTGCTACTGAACCTCTTCCCTGCTAGGCAAATGCTGAGTTGGCAGTTCGTGACATGCTGAGGACCTTTGGAAGTTCTCGGCAGAACCGGGGCCTGCCTCTGGAGGTGTCTGCAGAGGACCACATGGATGACGGTTCCCCCATCCGCCTCCGTGTGCAGATCAACCCAAGTCAGGTCAGGCTGCCTGGGGAGTGCACCCACTTGGGAGTCAGGGGCATTGCCACCCACCTGCTGACATCCTCTTCCCTCCCCTTGGATGGGCAGGGCAGTGCAGTGTTTGACTTCAGCAGCACTGGGCCTGAGGTATTTGGCAACCTCAACGCACCTCGGGCCATAACGCTGTCCGCCCTCATCTACTGCTTACGCTGCCTAGTAGGCCGGGACATCCCACTCAACCAGGTCTGTAGGGGTGTGTGTGTGAGGGGGTGCCCCACCGAGTACGAGGTAACCCTGAGTGTACCTGAGAGTTGGTCAGCCCAACTCCAGACTGATCCCAGGGGTGCTGGGTGGGGTGTTTCTCCTGGAGCCTGAGAGTGAGGCCCACCCCCAGTTGCCCATGTGTCCCCTCCCCCGCCATGCACAGGGCTGCCTGGCACCAGTGCGGGTCGTGATTCCCAGAGGTTCCATCCTGGACCCCTCCCCCGAGGCGGCGGTGGTAGGCGGCAATGTGCTCACGTCGCAGCGCGTGGTAGATGTCATCCTCAGGGCCTTTGGAGCCTGTGCAGCTTCCCAGGTGTGGTGGAGCAGGGTGGGTGCAGTTCTGGGGCCTGCTGGGCTGGGAGGGGAGGCTCCATCCCAGCTGAGCGCAGCAGCCACTTGCCCTGGACAGGGCTGCATGAACAACGTGACCCTGGGCAATGCCCACATGGGCTACTATGAGACGGTGGCAGGCGGCACAGGCGCGGGCCCTGGCTGGCATGGGCGCAGCGGCGTGCACAGCCACATGACCAACACACGCATCACTGACCCCGAGATCCTGGAGAACCGGTGAGCAATGCAGGCCAGGGGCTGGGGAGCAGGCTGGAGTTGAAGCCTGGGTTGGGGGCACACTGAGCCCGTACCCTCGCAGGTACCCGGTCATCTTGCGCCGTTTCGAGCTGAGGCCGGGCTCTGGGGGCCGAGGCCGCTTCCGTGGTGGTGACGGTGTGATCCGTGAGCTGCTTTTCCGAGAGGAGGCTCTACTATCAGTGCTGACAGAGCGCCGTGCCTTCAGGCCGTATGGCCTCCAGGGTGGGTGGCCTCCTAAGCCCCTTTAGGCCTGCTCTGCCCCCTCCCCCATCCTGCTAGGCCTCCCCTTATGTCCTACCCTCCCAGCCCTGTCTCTCTTCCTGGCCTCCCTGGACACCTTGCATGTTGCCTCTCCCCACAGGGGGTGAGCCTGGTGCCCGTGGCCTAAACCTGCTGATCCGTAAGGATGGCCGGGCAGTGAATCTGGGTGGGAAGACGTCGGTGCCCGTGTACCCAGGGGTAAGGATTGCAGCCTGCCCTGTTCCCACCTCCCCTCATTGGCCCCATTCCACAGAGGGTGAACAGAGTTGTAAAATTAACCAGAGACCGAGTTAATTTGACTCCTAAAGGAAAGGGGGCACGTTCTGGAGCAGGGTGCCGGTGATGGATGCTGCCCTGCTAGAGAGAGGGCTGCAGCCAGGGACAGGGAGGGGCCATGCCTGCGCTGAACCTGCTTCTCTGCCCCTCAGGATGTATTCTGCCTCCACACGCCAGGTGGTGGGGGCTACGGGGACCCGGAGGACCCCGCCCCACCGCCAGGGTCGCCCCCGCAACCCCTGGCCTTCCCCGAGCGTGGCAGCGTCTATGATTACCGCCGGGCCCAGGAGGCTGTGTGAGGGCCTCCACAATAAAGATCCGTTCAGCCCCCTGGTTCTTAGGGTGTGGCTACCGGGCCAAGTTCCAGCTCTGTGTTGTGCTGTTTGTGCTGACTGCGTGCCTGTCTTCCATGTGCCTGCGTTAGGAGGCCACCGAAACTCGAAGTTGCAGGCTCACAGCCAGGTGGTCCGTAAGCCCAGCCAGGGCAGTACTGAATGTCACCTGTTCCACTTCCTGGGGGAGGGAATCAGGTTCTGTAGGGCTCATCCCAGCGCCCACAGGCCCAGCCCTGAACTCTGGCACTTACTGGACTCAGCAGGCCCCCGGGCACACCCCGGTATGTGATGTAGTCCACACGACAGCCCCGCCAGGGTTTGGTCCAGCTCCTTCGGCAGGGAGGGCTTGCCAGGTATAGGCGGCGCCCTTTCTCCTCCTCCAGAGCCCTAGGGGAGGGGCTGTGTCACCAAGACCAGGGCAGCCCTTGGGCCAAGGGCAGGCGGATGGTGCCTGGCTCCCAGGTCGCCTCTCACCTCCGCAGCATCTCGGGAGAGCTGGCCACTGAGTGGTGGAGCTTGCGGGTGCTCAGTATCGTCCCTGTGGGAGGCCGGAGGAGAGCTGTGTCAGCGGGAGCTTCCGCCCATGGGCCTTCTGCATGTCCACTCTCCCCTCCACACTGCCCCCCACCTCCCAGGCACGGTACCCAGGGCCCAGGGCTGCTCCTGGCTGATCCCCAGCCGGCAGGGGTCCTGGAAGCAGCTGAAGAGTTTGTGTTGCTGCTCCTGCTGGTGGTCTGTGGAGAGAGAGGCTTGCGCTCCATGGCCTGGGTCAGACCTCCTGGCCCTGCTCACCCTAGCCTCCCCTCACATTTCGAGTTGTCGAAGTTTAGATCGCCTAGGAGCACGCTGAAAGCCACAACTTCATCACTCTTGTCGCTCTCGGCCTCAAACTGCTCTGCCCAGTCCAGCAGAAGCGTCATTTGTTTGCAGCGCAAGGGTCTGTCCTCTGCGGAGGGGAGTGGTATAAAGTCTAATCAGCCCAGGTGTGGATTCCCATCCTGGACACCCCCCACCCTGCCGTTCCTGATCTGTGAGTTTACCTAGTCGCTTCTCAGGAATTACGGTGCCTGGGCCAGTGAACAGACAGTGGGAGGTGAGGAGTAGAGGTGCAGATAGAATAGAGACCCAAAGCAGCCACGGAGAGAGGAGCCCGATGGCCTGGCTAAGTTCCCAGGATCTCACCCACAGGACTTACCAGGCGGTGCATGCAAGTGCGTGCAATGCAGGAATCCCACTATGCGGCGCCCATCCAAGTGGCCCACCTGCGCCTGCAACACCAGACAGCCCCGGCTTCCCTTGCCCGTTCCACAGCACCTGGGCCCCTCCCCAACCAGGGCAGTGCCTCTGCCAGCAAACCGGTACCTGTGCAGACAGTAGTCCCTTGGAGGCCAGCGCGTCCTCGCCACGCGCTTTGGGGAAGCAATGGAAGGTGGCACGCAACAGCGGGTAGCGTGAGGCCAGCAGCAGCCCACTGCCCAGCAGCTTGAGATGCGGCCCAGGCTGCAGGCCGAGTGTACCCACGTCGTAGAGCACAGGGCCCAGATTAGGCGCCAGGCGGCCCACCAAGCGATGAGCTGCGCGCAGATCGAACACCTCCTGCAGGCACACAAAGTCCAGACCCGCGGGCACTGCGGCCACCACCACCCCGCGCTGCGCCCGGGGCCATGGCTGACTGCAGTCCGTAGCTCTGTAGAGCGAGGGCCGCAGGCCGGTTAGCAGCGCGGCGCCAATGGCCTCGGCCCTCTGTTGGCTGTGCGACAGGTTGTTGAAGCGCGCCAGACCGTCAGGGAGCAGGCACAGATTGGCCGAAAAGAAAACGAAGCAGTGCACCGGCTCAGCGCGCGGGCGCCAAGGCGCAGGCGGCACCCAACAGGGCGGAGCGGGCCGGTAGCAGAAGGGGCGGCGCCAAGCCTGTAGCGGCAACCAGAGCAGCAGGCCGGGCAGCGCCAGTGGCAGGCCGACCAGCAGCAGCAGCAACAGCGCCGCCCCGCCGCCCGCCGCAGCTCTCAGCCACCCCAGGCGGGCTGCGCGCGTCGCTGGTGCACAGCAGCCCAGCAGCTGGTCCAGGGCCCAGTAGGCCGGGAAGAGCAGCACGCGGCCCACGCAGTGGAGGGCGTGTAGCAGGGGGTGTGGGAAGGGCGAGGGCCGCAGGGCGTCGGGCGTCGGGGGCCAGTCCGGCGGGGATTGCATGGCGCGGGTGCCCAGGCGCGTCAGCGCGAGCTGGGGAGCGACAGGGGTCAGCGCCAGTAAGGCGCGGTTCCCAGCCGGCCTGGGGGTTCAGGCGTAGGCAGAGAGGGGTGCTTCAGAAAAGCTGCCCTCTGCTTACTTGCGGTTTCGGCGGCCCTTGGGAAGAACGAAAGTAAAAGAAAAAGGGATCCTGACCTCATAGCCCCGCCCAGATTCTCCTTGCCCCGCCCCATCCACCCCTGAAGGCCGCCGGGGGTACCTTAGAGCCCCGGGGTGCAGCCAGCCCTAGGTGGAGGTGACCCTTCTAGAGTACCGGCGGGCACAGCGCTGGCGAGGGGATAGCAGTGTGCTCTGCATCCGGCTTCCCACTACCCCCACTCCACCTTCCCCCTCGCCGCCCCCCGCAAGTCAGCATGAAATGGGCTGGGCACTGGGCTGCCCAAACTGCAGGGTCTACCCTGCCCCGTCTCTCCGCAGTCCCGCGGTGTCCGGTGCCTGAGTTCAAAGACCCGACACCATACAGAGGACTGACTAGGAGCAGCCTAACCAGCCTCCCTCCCAGCGCACAGCAAAGTCCTCCAAAGGGCTGCTGCAGCAGCGGCAGCCCTGTGACCTTACCCCAAGGAGTTTCCAATCTGGCGGCGAGGGACCGTTGGTTCTGCCCTGCGCTGCCGCTGCACCAGCGCGCGAGCAGCATGGAAGCCAGCTCCCCCTTTCCCCGGAGCCCTCTGACACTTGTTCGGTCGGTTACCAGGATAGTGTTTTCTGGAGCTCCCAGGCGCTGCTTACCTCCCACGTTTTTGAAGCACCCTTGTTTAGAAGCACCACTCTCTGCCTATGCCTGACCCCCCAGGATCCCTATGTATAACGCCTTACCGGCTCTAACCTTTGTTGCTCAGCTGAGTACAAGTGTCTTTTAAATAGCCCTGGAAGTTTGGGTCAGGGCTGCCCTTCCCCCTGGCTGGCAGGTAGGTGGAGGGGCTTCTGGGCCCCACATGGCCAGGCTGGCCCCAGAGTTGGGGCCAGAAGGACTCTGGGTCAAGAGTCCTTCCCTAGAGCTATTGGGCTGGATCCTCTGAGGCCTCAGGAGGCCTGGGAGTAGGGAGGCCAGAGAGGCAGCCAGCCCAGGGCCTGGGCATCCTGAAGGACATCCGGGCTCCCAGCTTTTCGGACTCCTTGCTGGTGGCTGATGAGATTTGTGTTTGAATCCAGACCCTGTGGCTCCTCTGGTCCCTCCTGCCATCCTTTCTGGCTAGCAAGCACTGCTCTGGGACCCTCCTCTGTGAGGGTCCTTATCCCCACTTCTCCCATCGCAGCCAGTTTCCTTGCCTTCTCTCAAGCAGGCTCTCCTTTTCTACCTGTGGGCCAGAGGCCACCCTGGACTTTCCCACGTTGCCCATCTCTCCCCCTCAGGCACTCCCCAGGGACAACCCACCCTGACCAGAACGCCTCAGCTTCCTGCACTGTCCACAGGCCCTTCCACTTCCATCTATAGGTCCCCTCCCAGCAGCCCTCCCTGCCCCCACTTCACTTGCTCCCTCATCTTGCCTGTGCCTTTAGCCCCGTGACAGGTGGGCTCTGCCCTTGCCAGCTCTGAGCCCCCCACCCCAGGTCTCCAGGACCCTGCGGAGTGAGCTTTTCTTCCTGTACCTTGGGTGTCTTGGGAAAGGACTGCCATGTGCCTGGGCTGCCCCAACCCAGGGTTGGGTGAGCTGCGGCTGCACTCCCTCTAATGCCCTCCTGTCTTCAAGGTCCAGAAGATACCACCCCCCAGCCCCTGCCTAGTATGGAGGGAGGGGCTCCCACACCCACATACTTGCCTCTTCCTACCTCTGCACTGAGGTCCCTGCTTGGTGTCCCTCACCAGTGCAGCTGGCACAGAGCCACAGCCCTTCCCTGCCCTCTCCACTCCTTCCCAATTCCTGCTCTTCCTCCTTCAAGTCTCAGGACATCCTGCTGCTCCCAGTGTTAAGTGAGGGGAGCCTGGGGCCTTCAGACCAACTCCTTCAGCCCGACAGTGCTGAGCCCCGGGGAAGGGCATGGATCTCCAAGGCAGGCAGGACTGCAGGGGCATAGTGCAGGGGTCTGGTGAGCCATCCTAGGGGAGGCAGTACCACCCAGGAGTGCTGGCGCGGGCCCAGCGGCCAGCGTCTATGGAAAGCTTTAATGGCCCTGCACAGGAGCGCATGGCAGAATGAGCCTGGGCCGCCGGGCGCCAGCATCACCAGATGAACATGGGCTTGCCGTCGTCATGTGCCAGCTGGTTGAGGCAGGAGAGCAGCAGCAGCGCATCAGTGAGCATGCTGGGGTGCACAGTCTCCACCAGCACACGCTGCAGGAAATCCATGGTGTAGGAGCCGCCCTCAGACGCTGCCAGCTCAGGCCGCTCTCGCAGGATGCCATAGGCATTCACCAACTGCTCGGTCAGTGCAGGGTGCACCCGGCCGTTGTAACCCAGGCTCTGCAACCTGTTCATGATGCTCACATAGCGCTGTGTGAGCGTCTGGCATAGCTCCTCATCCAGCTTGTGATCACTAGGGTTCAGGGAGGCCTGTGGGGAGAGCAGCCATCAAGTCCCTTCCATGCCATACCCCAAGCACAGGGGCAAATGATGCTGAGGGAAGTTGTTGGGAGGACCATGCTCAGAGGGGTGGATGTGGAGGGGTCCTGTGAGGGGCCTGAGGGTCCAGGGTAGAAAAGCCCAATGGGCAGAACTGACAGAGAGATAGATCCCCCAGGCCTGACTCAGGCAGGGCAAGTGGCCCCCAGATCTTCCCAGTGGGGCCTCAGCCACAGGACAGGAAGAGCACACCCCATTCCTATTGCCTGCTCTATCTACCACGAGGGATTTGGGACTGGGCTGAGGCCACCAGTGGCTGAGGTCAGGGAGCCTGGCTGGGAGTCTGGAGGTGAAGCAAGGATGGGGGCACCAGGGGGACTCTGGATACCCTCAGGGCTGCTGGACCCAGGAATCACAGGCTTTCCTGGGCCTCCTCCTGGCTCCCTGTACTGCTGCCTTTCCACCTCCTCTGGAGATCCCTTCCATCCTCAGCACCTCCTGGCCTGCATAACCTGTGGGGCTGCCTTTACTTCCCCCTTGTGCCTGGACCCGGGGATCAACAGCATATGGTCACTTCCTCATTGTCCGTCTCACCAGCCAGGCAGTGGCTGCATCCTGCATCGTCTCATCATGATGGCAGCCCCTCCTCTCCACCCCCTGCTGCTGTCTCCTGGGCGCATCACCTGGGCAGTCACATTGAGCCCTGCCTATGCTCAGAGCTTGACATGCTTGACATTCTGTTGCCCCCATCCTGAAGTTCTTAATACATTTTATTTTTTATTGTTTTATTTTTATTTTTTTTTGAGACAGAGTCTCACTCACTGTGTTGCCCAGGCTAGAGTGCCATAGCATCAGCCTAACTCACACGAACCTCAAACTCCTTCTGCCTTAGCCTCCCGAGTAGCTGGGACTACAGGCATGCACCACCATGCCCAGCTAATTTTTTCTATATATTTTTAGTTGGCCAATTAATTTCTTTCTATTTTTAGTAGAGACGGGGTCTTGCTCAGGCTGGTTTCGAACTCCTGACCTTGAGCAATCCTCCCACCTTGGCCTCTCAGAGAGCTGGGATTACAGGCGTGAGCCACTGCGCCTGGCCTGAAGTTCTTAATACATTTTAAACAAGCTCCCTGTGTTTGCACTGAGCCCTGCCAATATGTTGTAGCCTGTCTGCTATAGGTGCCCTTGTGCCCTCTCTGCACAGACCCACAGAGCCATGGTTTGAAGTGGGGGCGGTGGGCTCTCCCCTCCTGAGCCCCTCCTGTACTTCCCATTGCTCCCACTCTTGGTGCCAGGGCCAGCCTGCTGGGTTAGGGTTAGTGTTAGCCCGATCTGGCCCTGATGCCGACATGCTGATTCCCAGCCTGCTGGGAATATTCTTCTCCACTCTGTCCAGACAGGCTGTTTAGCCATCACCTCCCTGGGAGACTCCCTTGGCCGCACCTTCCAGGCTGGCTGTATAAGCAGAGAGCACCAGGCAGGGGTTGGACCCAGGTCTGGGCTCAGCCTAAGTAACCACTGACCTCTGGCAGGTCCTCCCAGAGCCTTTGTTGCTGGGTAGCACCTGCGACAGCCAGTGTCCCCAAGTCTTCCAGGCAGAGAACCAACACAAGGGGTGAGCAGGCACACCAGCGACGCCCTGGCAACCAGGTTCGATGGCTGCTTGTGTTACCATGTGAGGTCTGAGCCTCAGTTTTCTTGCTGTGACGTGGAGGAAATCACGGCACTATCTGAGAGTTGTTTTGAGGATTAAAGGAAATGACCCCTGTGAACACTGAGCGACTGTTTGGTCACTGGGAAAATGGGTTCTGAATCCCCACCATGGGAAATGTCAGTGGCCCCTCACACTGCAGCAGAATTGTGTTTCAGAAATATCACTCTGGCTGCCTCTAAAGTAATAGAGAATGCAGGGGCGTCCAGGATGTTGAAGTTTGAGGCTAGGATCTGGCTGGGAGTGTTAGGGCCTAGAGACCATAGGTGTTAAGGCCAAAGCTTCTGGTTGCTTGTACCCTTTCACGGTGGTGAAAAACTTAAATTGTTATAAGAAAAAAGCAAAACAATCCACTTGTAGCTAAATGCATATCCTGCCAGCTGTGTGTTGTAAAATTTCACTATACTCAGGCTAACTGAGGCTATCTGCTTCTGTAAATAACTTGCTTTGAGATAATTCTCAGCACAGGGGCTAAAGGCCCGACCTGGGTTCCTACCATCTAGAAAAAACATGATAAAATATAAAAAACCAATACCCTCACTTATATGCCTCTAGTCACATAAGCCCCCTATAACTGTGCTTAAACAATTAGATAATTTTTTCAGAGTGTGGTTTTTGCCTTTAAAAGGGGCCAGTTTTACCTAGCTCATCACTACTTTCTGTGCCTGCTCTGCAGGGCAGAAGTAATCCTGGCCAGTAAATAAAGACTCACAATTTGACCCAATTCTGTTTCTAAGGTGGTCTTTTCTCCAACTCCAGACCATAACAGGGGGAGGCTGCAAGGCTGTGTCCCTGTCTCTCAGCTCCACTCCCACAAATGCTCCTGCCCCTATAGCACACAGCACCTCCTGACCCTCTCTCTAGGGTTGATTGCAGGCCTCCCCAGCAGAGGAGGTGCTGCCTAAGGGCAGGAACTGTGCCTGTCTACTGTGTACTTGGCTCTTCCCCAGGGAAGAAGGGACGGCATGTGGACCACAGGCAGGAGTGGAGGATGAGAGAAGTGAGTGGATGGGAAGAACATTTAGGGGGGCTCAGAAAGACCTGGTGTGGGATGGGATGTGGAGGAGAGAAGGTGTAACAACACACGTGCATTCTTCCAAGATGAGCACATATGCTCACCACCCCACTTTCCACCCTAGAGCACCCACAACGCCAGCCATGGGCTCTGTAAGGAAATGGCAGCACACGTCACAGGACCAGTGTTCTCTGAACACAGTGCAAGTAGGTTAGAAATCAATAAAAAGACAGCCAAAAAAAGCCCCTGTGAAAGTTGCCAGTGTGAAAAAGGAGTCACTTATGTTAAACCAATAAGAGGGATCTGGGAGGCCATGATGAATCCCTCATGCACACAGGCCTGAAACAGGACTTATCACAAAAACTTCCTGAAGCTTGCAGTGTTCCAGGTATGCCGCTTGCTCAAGGACACTTGCCTAGCAATGGCTGTCTCCACCAACAAACTAGGCCCACTGCAGTGAGCTTCTGTGCCCTGTGACTTTGTTTCAAAGCAGCTTTTATAGGCTTCTTTCTCTGTCTTCAAAAGTTTCCCCTCCACCCCAACCCCCCTGGATATGCCTGTGATCCATCATAGCCTGAATATTCTGATTGCAATCCTCGGCTATTCCCAAATAGAATAGAAACTATTCTAGTTTCTCTAGAAACTCATGTGTTCTAGAGAGCTTGTCTTTCTGAGTTTCTTTTTAGATTGACATCATCTGTTGTTAGAAGTAGGACCCAAAGAAGACAAGCCTTTTCCAGATTGGCCACCCCTAGAACCACGGATGGTACCTACGAGAGCCCACATGCTCTCAACCTCCATAAGTCATCATCTCTGGATGGTAAATCACCTCTTGGGTCTGAACTCCCTCCCTTTGGTTGAGTTCTCTGACTTTATTTGGGATCTCGTTTTATAACACCTTTATGAAAGGACATAGTCCTTCTGGTGAGTTTCTTTTTGGTTGACTTGCGTACCTGGTTAAAGATTTTGGTGAGTTAAGTGGTCGTGATGGGGATCAAACTTCCCAAGATTGTTTTCTTAGGACTAAACTAGAAGATAGGCTTAAACAACCTGAAAGGGACACACATTTCACTTGGAACCCCGAGGTTTCAAAACACATCAAGGACTCAACAATTGTCTCACTGCAAACACCATCTCAGAGGCAGCTGCAACACATATACAATTTAAAGAGGATACAAAGGTCTTCTCCCACTCTGGAGCCTTCCCCTCCCCTCCTGCCACATCCCCTTTTCCTCACCTTTCTCTGGCTGAGCTCCCTCTCTCCCCAGACTCCTTGGCAGCTACTCTCAGCTGGAACCCATTCAAACTTTCCCACTTATTTATTTATTTATTTAGAGACAAAGTCTCACTCTGCTGCCTGGGCTAGAATGTTGTGGCATCAGCCTACCTCACAGCAACCTTAAACTCCTGGGCTCAAGTGATCCTCCTGCCTCAGCCTCCCAAGTAGCTGGGACTACAGGCATGTGCCACCATGCCCGGCTAATTTTTTTATATATATATTTTTAGATGTTCAGCTAATTTCTTTCTATTTTTAGTAGAGATGGGGTCTCGCTCTTGCCCACACTGGTTTTGAACTCCTAAGCCCAAACAAGCCACCTGCCTCTGCCTCCCAAAGTGCTAGGATTACAGGCGTGAGCCACCATGTCCAGCCAAAACTTTCCCCTTTAAATAAAATCCTCTGACGACACAGGTAAACCCTGAGTCTCCCGTGTTCTTTGGACAAAGGCTGAATTGAGTCATTGCCAAGGAATTTCCAAAAGCCACTAAAGACCCTCTCTGATTGGCTGATGAATTCAACATAGTAATCCAGTCTTATCAGCCTGACTTCTCTGATCTTAGCCAGTGGGGTCACATGCTTGTCAGTGAAGGCCAGGTCCAATTGGATGGCCAAACCTGAATGGATTCACACTGACCAACACTTAGCAAAACAAATAGCCCAATATTGGAAAGAGTCTTGTAATTTAGCTAGACTCTGTCATAAGGCCATTGCTACAGCCTTTCAGTAGACTAGATTGGAATAAGATCCCAGGTCATACCCAAGAACCTAATGAGCCAGTTCATAATTATTACTGCCAACTCTAGGTTGTCTTTCAGAAAAACCTTGGACTTCCACTGGATGCCCATTCTCCTTAAGTAGACATTAATTTTATGTTTGTGAATGGCCTCTCTTGAGAACTTTCCCAACTTGTTAAAAGAACCTGCATGGGGCCGGGCGTGGTGACTCACACCTGTAATCCTAGCACTCTGGGATGCGGAGGTGGACGG